GGGGGGGGGGATGGAAAAGAAAGCATTATTATAAATCACGTGCACTTTACTGACTCCAAGCAAACATGCCCAGTCATGGGTCTACGGCTGCAGCGTTGAAAGAACGACCGGGTGCTTTCGGTGCGAAGCGCACACCAGTCTTGTCACATTTTTGTTTGTTCGCTTAAATTCCTTCACGTAGAGCCTTTGCACGCGAACGAAACGCCAATTTCACGTTTTTATTAATTCAGGGTGAAGTTCAGAGCATGTATGTTTAATCGGTAGGCATGTACGATACAAATCGGTTGTAGAAACTTCACTGTTACAACTGTTTTGATAAGGCACCAATTTTCTTGTGTTCAAACGGATTGCCTGTAAAATTAGAAGTATTTATAAGGTGGCAACCTAATTACTTGCCAACAGGCATGCTAACTATTTTTAGCGCACTTTGGATAGAAAGGTAGCATCATAATACTTCTGTGGTGGGAAATTATGATTAAGTTATCCCTCCCATTAGCCTACTTTGTTTATTTAAATTGTCCATTCCGCTCAATTTGTTTACACCGACGGTTATTGAGCCTGTTGTCCATTACGCCACCAGCTCTCAGTGTAGCTTCATACTTAAATATCATTTCATGTCGGTGTTTTGCGAACCCTCGCACAGTCAGAGACCACCAGTCCGAAGTTCACCAACGCGCCTCTCCTTAACGGGAAGACCAACTGTATTTGTCGGAGGGGGTGGGGGGTGAGTAAATTGGTCGCTGCGTAGGGGTCTGGTCTTACCCGGTTACCTAACTTAAGCAGCCCAAAATGTTAATTCCTGATTCTAAAGAGTAGATAATTCTTCTCAAGAGAATTCGAACAAATTTAAGGCTACAACTTGTGTACACATTATCATAGAAAACGTTAACTTTTCGCTACCACTGGAAGTACTGTTCCACTAATGCCATAATTCCGCTTACCTCAGGTCCAATATAAACACCGAGTAACTAAACACCATCTTTATCGTTAAAGTCGGATTCTGTTCTCGTAGCTTTAAAAGATCTTTGTATTCTTGCAAGCTGAGACGAGAAAAAAGTGGGTACTGTATGCCATGGTCTAAATCCTACAAATTTTCGCATTTATTGGTATCCTTCAACTTATTAATTTCTTTATCGTGCACTCTACAAACAAACGAACTCATAATTATTATATCAACATCATCAGCAGCATCACCTGCGTGTACGCGTCTACTTTACCTTTATTGACATAAGGTTGGCTGGACCTGACGCAAATGTTAGTTAACTTGCCCAGGAGTGTTTTTGTACTTATGCGCTTGTATTTTTTTCTTGCACTTTTCATCATGCACTGACCCAATTCGTCGTAAAAGTGTCATTATTCTCAGGAGGGAGGCATGTCTTCTGCAGCGCCTAATTTATGGCCTCTTTCCCAAAGTAATCAATATGAATATAGGTGCACACTGCATTGTCAATGGACCTCTCTTTCACCACATTGTATGCACACACAAAAGTGGCTCAATTATAATCGAGGAAAATATGTGAGGCCATTTTTCCAATTCCAATACTTCTATCGGCGTTTCTTTGCCTTCGAAGAGCTTATGTTTGTTTTAACCTATTTCCACACATTTATATGTCGCTCTTTTGGTGGAATGCATCTGAACAACTGATCAAGTAAGGGATTAGGGCTGGGATCAGGTAGTAGCTTTAAGTTAAAATTTGTCACCTTTCAAATGTCAAGGGTTATGTTTGGGCATTTGATTGAACTTATTTCTCCCATGTGCAACGTTAATTCTCCAGTGAATAAATTTAGGTGGTCAGTCTTACTATTTGGTCACATTAATCCTTCAGGGTAAATAATGCATATCTAACTCAGTGGATTTTCTGAACAGTCGTTGGATGATTCGTTCTGATTTGGAAGGGGCATTTTGCTAGGCAGTAGTGAACATTTCCGCCATGCAATACATCGTTTAAAAATACCTCCATTGGTCCATGTGCGCGATTTTGGGGGAGGGGAGGGGGGATTCCATTTTTTAGGAGATTAATTTGAATGCACTCTCGTTCTCCCAATACGACCAATTTTAGCGATCAATCCAGTTCATGCTATTACGAATATTATTAACATTAATATTCGTTTTGGAAAAGGTATATATTTAAGCAGTAAATTTAATCATTGAAATGTGATAAAGTACTCTAGTTAATCATTTTTTCTCACGTTATGGTCCTCTTTGAACTTTGTCTTTAGGTTCGCTCGGAGTCCTTTCGCTGGTTCAACAAGGGTACTTTCACTTTATTTATTCACTTCCAGTCTGCTTATTCCTCTTAATTGTAATACCACCGTAGATTCCCATCAGTTGGGAAAAAATCTTCAACATATCTGCCATTTAGGTGATTGAGTTATGACTTCACATTCCCTTCTTAGCTAAAAGTCTTTAAATGATATTCGAGTTTATCACGCGTATTGAGGAAGTTTCTAATCTGTGCTGACTTATTTTACGCTCCTCAGCATGATCACTTTACCAACATTTTTCTTCCATGAGTAAAGTTGCGTTTGCTTTACTTAGGTGTTATTGGTAGCAGGAGCTAAATATTGTTTGAAATTTTCATTATGACAAAATGTAAAAGTACGAGGTAAAAAGCTATTTTTCAAATTAGACTTATTTTTAGTTGTTTATTTAGTTAAGATTACTTTTGCTACCTCCACCTATGTGCATGACGTTTTATCTGCAGTATATCGTGATTACCCATTCTATTTCGCTTCTGAACTTCAGCGAAACTGCTTGACGGTCAGATGGCGAATTCTGCCAATGAAACGAGTCGCCATAAGGGCGCAACAACCCCACAACCAATTGACGGATTGGGCAATGTAGAAGAGGGACAGACCGACCTCTCCCTTATCATCGGTTGTGTATGTGTGGTCGGTCTGGTGCTTGTGGTCAGCATCTTTGTTTTCGTTCTCTGTCGAATGTGTCATAGTGGTTCGCGAGGAAACCGGGCTCTCCTTGGTAAGATCCCTATGGAAAGAGGTAGTGAGGTTGGGGATTGCAGTGGAAGCAATAGCAATAGTGGAAGGAAAGCAAAACCAATGGACACTGCTGATAATGGCATGGTGTCTGGTGGAGACGGACGGTTCGTGACTTTCGGAGGACATCCGCCGACAGGAGCCTTCTGTTTGGCCAATACAATGACGACTGGGGAAATTCCATCTCCAAGCTTACCAGTCGACATGTACTCCGCTTTTAATGGAAATGGTGGGTTCTATTCTTCGAATTTAATAAAACGACTTGTTTACATTGTATATAACATACAGATTGAATTAACGGTCTCGTATATTTTTCAAGAACTCAAAGTTTATTCCATATTGTTGAATGTTTTGCAGATAATTTATAATGTCTGTCGTCATTTGTTTGCGACTTGCATCCACAAACCCATTGGGACGAACTCGCTCTTGATTTTGAATTGCACTTTTATGCCCATTTCCATACTTTTACCTAGAGAAGAACGAATCTTTGAAATTTATCCTATGGATTCTGCGCTTTTAATTTCGCCATAAACACCTCAATACTGTTGACTATACCTTTTTGACCTACGATTTTTTGGCCCATCAATCTTTTATTCAAACGGACTTCGCAACTGGATGCGTTATTACATCAGTTCGCTTGAGAAGTTTTTCTAAATCGTGTGACCGAGATATACCAGAAGGGTGCCACTCTTCCAAAACGAATAAATGCTACTGCACACGAGAAAATATAATAGTTTATTTTGGCACGTTGATCCGGAAGCGAGCTGGTCTCAACTTTATATCTGTCAATTCGAGAGAGAGAGAGAGAGAGAGAGATTAGCTTTTCCGTGGGGAATTTCTCAGTCGAAGAGTAAAATCGAACTGCTTGCAATTGTTCGTTTGCTTCTTTAAAGGCGCCAGACAGAGTCACTTGAGCTGCAAATCTGACAAGCATGAAGTATCGCGATGCAGTGATAGCAGAAGTTTTCGAGCACGCGAAACTCTATGATGAGTGTGTGTTGAGGAGCAGCTGGAAGCGGTGACTAAGGCAGGGTAGAGGGTTAGGAGGGATTAAATCGAACGCGCTGTTATTGAGATAAATTTAGCCAACTTGAGCAAGAGTGGGAGTGGGAGTGGAGGAGAGGGGGAGGGGTGGATCAGTGTGATTCATTCTTCCCACTGCCACCACCTCTCCTGAGAGTTATTTCCTTTTCCCCTCGAACAGATTACTGCCACGTGCTGCTCACGTACGCGGTTGGCCGCGAGTTTAGCGTAAAAAAGGGACTTTTCAATGCAAGCTTGCATAGCCATCGAGTCAGTATGAGAGTTATTCTTCTCCACTTTATCTATCCTCTTGTTCACCTTAATTTCTGGAAAATGAATTTCTATCTTTAATTACTATTGTTTTAGATGGGATGCTGCAAACTCTCCATTTGATGCAACAGCAGCAGACTGCGAGTGGCTATGACCCAAACTTACGGCCACTTCTTCAAAATGTCTCTGCACAAGGTTTCGGGACTCTGGGACAGAATGGGGCACCACCACCGATGTTCCAGGTACCTCCACCTCCCCCTCCACCCGATCAGCCTCTACCGCCCTTGCCTCCCATCACACCTACTTCAGGGGCTAGTGGGACTCAGCAACACCACCAAAGACCTTCCTCAACTGTCAACCCCTATGCAGCCTCATCGGCTGTCTCTATTTTCGCGAATGGTGGTAATGGGACTACCATGATCACTAGCACTCATACAGGTAAAGGTTATGTCTCTCGATATTGATTTTCATTTAGACTTGTTCCATCCACTGGAATGGGTCAAGTTACTCGCATTTCTACTAAGTTAACACCTGTGATCTCAAGCAAGGTAGACTTATTGTGTTCACGGTCGCTAGCATTAGTCTCGTAGATAACAATTCGATCAAGTGTGTACTCAGAACTTTGAATCAAGTATAAGTGACGCTTAATTCCGTACCTTTTTATTTACATTACTAACCTCAGTTTTAACTCTGGCATTTTCTAGTATGCCATTCATGAAAGATCTTTTGAAAAGATTTGTCTTCGTTGAAGGTGTTAACATATTAGGCTATTATTGAATGTGCTGCATTCATGATGCATTCGCTTCTTACGAAATTCCATTTCGTTTCTTGCCAATTTACTTGCATCTGCTATCAATTCACTTTCACTCTTCATGTTCTTCTGGAACTGTTTGGGAAGACTTACGTTGGCTTGGTTTGGTTTTCCGTCACGTTGCGCATTCTACTTAACTTGTCTCAGTTGATTTTCTCTCTGGCTGCTGTAATATATAATTGGTGCTTTCTAGTTTCAACCATTGCTAAGCATCCAAGTAGTGGGAAGTGAGAACGGCGGCGGGGGTGGGGGTGGGGGTGGGGGTTAGGATGGGGTAATTAAGATTCTACAAGCATTTTAGTTGTCCTTGTTCCTAAGGCCCTTCAATTCTCTTTTTCGACATTCTAATAGTCAAAAACATCACGAAATGACTCCCAATTTCATTGACAAGATTATGTCCGCAGAGGCAGTTGATCGATCGGCTGACTTATTACAGTCGCGAACAAGTTGTTGAGGTTACCAACCTAAATATCAACATTTATATCTCCTTTTATTTATGCATTCTTTCTTCTTTTTGAAAATTCGCGAAATGTATGAAACTAAGTTCTGTGCACCGAGCCCGACACATTAGCTTAAACTGCTTATTTATTTATATCATTGGGAATGGGGGGTGGGGAGGGACATTGTAAAGATTTTCATACATTTTTGCGATTTTTCTGCTCTATTTATGCATTGACCTTTAGGCTGTTGCATTTCACCTCCTTTCGAAGGCCCTCTTGACTCTCCTTCGCATCTTCTTGCCTTCGAATCACATCCTAATATGTCTTCATCTTTCCATTAAATAATATATTTTTGCTGTATGCATTTGACCTTATTGCTCGGGGAGTCCTAACGATTGTAGAGCACGTTGCTTGGATGTCTAGGAAATACACCAAGAAAATTCTTACCACTTCGTTGCGTTTTAGCTAAACTACCTTCAAGAAATCAAGGCCCGTCATTAGCATATATTAGCAAAAGAGGAGATGAAGTTTTTAGTGAGACTAGTACAATCATGGTGGTGGTGGAGAGTGACTAGTGAATTTTCAGATTTTCTAATTATGGAAGGGGGAATTATGATGCTGTTAGTTTAAAGCCAATTTCGGCGATGGACAAACACTAGAACACAAATTATTGATTTCAAATGCTCGATTTCTGGATGTTCGAATCTGTGGTGTTTGTCATTTATTTCTACAAAATCTAGCTTGGTGCATTTTCACAGGGAAGGGGGTGGGGTTGCATACGTAGGTCCCTTTTCACTCAGAAATAGTTATCGTAAAAACCACCACACTGCCTCCTTATTGTCTTGGTTCAAAATCGATAGGTAAAGCTTCTTTTCCCATATAGTCTTAGTACAACTGTGTATGTAAAGATGGAAATTTTGAGGATGTGCTGTTGTTTTTCCTATGTTAATTTTTTTTGTATAGAATTGAAATAAAAAGTTTAATTTGTACGGGCTATTAGAATGGCTCTAAATAGGTTTATTTGACTTAATGTTTCAATTCGATTAGGGGTGCTAATTTGAGTACTTTTAGCTATCAGAGTTTCTTTATTTGAAAACATCAGCTCTCTTGCCTTAGCATAATAATATAAAAATAGTAGAAATCAAATTTACCAAACCTTTTTCATACATAACAGCTCTCCTCTGTTTCACTTGTCGATTCTTTAATTGTATGGTGTATTTATTTGCTCTTAGTTTAAATATTTCCTTCTTTGTAGTCCTATTTTGTAAAGTAGTTTCACGTTTTTTTTGCCTTTTTTGTTCGGGATTGATTTAATTAAGTACCTTTTTTCAATATTTTCGAAATTTTCGTCCTAGTCAGTGTCGACTGGCCAAAATCAAGTCAAATTAGGGCATATGTGAAGCGTTTTAACAAAATTTGCAGGAAAGTTAGAATCGAAGCCATAAACTCTCAGTAATCTAGTGTATCTAGTTATATCAAATGGCAGGCGTTTTGATAGTTATCATTAGCCCTGGAGCTGACTTCGGGGCTTCACAGAGAGGAGAAGGAACATCAAAGTGACAAAAAGTCGAGGGGGGAGGAACAGAAGAGTGATCCACAGATGTAAAAGAGACAGACAGACAGACACAAAGGCATAAAAAAGGTAAGAGGAGTACTGTGAAAAGGGGTCGAATATGACAAATAGTCGGGCCATAGTAGTTTGAAGTCAGAAGTCAACTGCCGATCAATAGACCTTTTTTCCGTATAAGTAAACGTTGCCCAGGGTGCACCACGTGGAGGTAAGTCTATTGCGCACCCCGTAATCACGTGTAAACAGGTGGTTACTTAGTTCTGTTAATTGTATCGTGAATCTTACTTAATACTGCATTGCTATGTTACTTAAATGTATTAGTAGCAATATTTTATTATAGATGGTTCGATGGCTGAATATGCAAGTGCCTCATTGATAAGCGGCCAAAGTGGCTACCCGATGCGTCCTTCGTCAACTCATGGCGGCAACAGTGGTCTGTTATTCACATCCCAACCAAATGCCTACCCATCGGTCCAAAACTCTTCCGGGCAGGATGTTTTTCTTCAGCCGACTACAATGCTTGTTGGCACGGGTCTGGCCAATGGTAACATGGCAAATACGAATGGTGTTTTCCCTGTCATGGTATCCTGCTCAAGCGGCTTTGGTGACGGGGTCATGCCCTCTTTTTCCAACCTCCCCTCCCACTCTAAAAACGGTCTTTTTGACACCCTCAAGTCCATTGACACCTTGCCTCCTCATGAAGAAATGCGGTGAAAGTTAGTACTTCCTCGAACCTTCACTCCTGCGCTTGTGCATTCCGGCAGTTCTTTATCACTCCCTCTCACTTTTCCTTTTTCTCGAGGAGACAATCCTCTCCCACTGCATCGAGTTTTATGCGCTCAGATTTATATGATTGGCGGGTTGTGTGTGTCATTGTATGTATATATGTGTATCGCGTGTACAGACTGTGGGATGACTGCTGTCAAGATCTATCTAATTGGAGAATATACCCCTACCACTTACTCTCTCCAACCCCCCCCCCCCCCCCCCCCCCCCCCCACCCCTCCCCTATCTCCTAACCCTCATTTAATCAACGATCTTTAACTTCTAACTGTAATTGCCGCCAATAGTTATCCATAAAACAGCTTCCAGTTGAAAAATTCTTGATCAAAGTATTGAAGTTTACCTTTGAACAGTCTATTTGATTATCAGTGATAATACGGTGGATTTGTTGGGTAAGCGAAAAGGGGCAAACTTGCTACATTTTATTCAAGTAAATCGAAGTAGTCGTTCCAACCGAAACGGTCTTTAAGAACTCCCTCAAACCTCCGTTGCATCATGTATCCTCCAAGACGGTAGTTCCGCTACCCCTTATTCCAAATGAATGTGTTTACCTTTGGTGTGCAGGGCACTAGTAGCCTTGGCTACAGCATTCAACTACAGCGTGATTGTTCTAAAGCATTAATTACATTTCTGAAATTGATTTGATTGCTTCGAATTTGATGACACGGAAAGCAAAAATAGTATGAGGGGAATTTTAATATAAAAGGCTTGGACGCTAGGAAACTAAAGTACAAGGGGATTTGTAACAGGTTAATTAAAGAACCCAGAGGAGCACGAATTCGTTGAGGCTAATCAGCCCATTTGCCCATTCCAGGGTCAGGAAGAAGATCAGAAACCACTCCGTACCCCATCGTAGAGCCACCGGAACGAATAGTGAATCGTTGACCTTGTTCAAGGAACTAGTAGGAAATTGATACATGATATTAGATAAGAAATCCAACATTTTGAATGAATTCGAGTCTAACATACCATTTTCTTTTGCATGTGTAATTTTATGCTGGCATCTTCGCCAGGCATTAGAAAATCGCGGCCTTCGTCAAGTTGTAGAAAAGCCGGACAATCCCATGACATACTGAAGATTTGCAATTGAAAATTGTTTGTGAACGGCTTCTCACGTCCACCTTCCTTCTTTGAAAGCATGTAAACCTACAAGCATAAAATGAATAATCTCAAGCGATCAAGAACTACTAAACTAAAACAAATGGTTGATTACCTGGGCCTTGAAGCAGTTATGGATGGAGGCAGATTTGGGAGCAACAATGGCCATTCCACGACGAATTTCGTCACGTTTCACACCACGAAGAAGAACCCCAACCTGATCACCCGCTTCTCCACACTCCATCATTTGGCGGAACATCTCAATTCCTGTAACAGTTGACTTAAGGGTCTCGTTGTAGCCAACCACTTCAATTTGGTCTTGCAGCTTTACTTTGCCTCGCTTGATGCTACCGGTAGCTACGGTACCACGGCCAGTGATTGTAAAGACCTACAAAATCACAAAAGTGATTCAGAAAAATTGGCAAAAAGGCTTACAACTAGTAGGACCACAAACCTGTTCAACCGGGAGAAGGAGTGGTTTATCGAGTTCACGCTTAGGCATTGGTACCTCGTCAATGACCTTCAGAAGCTCGATAATTTTTTCACGCCCAATGGCAGGATCTTTGTCTTCCAAAGCATATAGGGCTGATCCAGATACAACAGGAGTATTATCACCGTCAAAACCGTATTGTTTAAGAGTGTCGCGGATTTCCAATTCTACTAATTCCAACATTTCAGCATCAGCAGAATCAGCCTTATTGATAAATACAATAATATTTTCAATTCCAATCTGTTTGGCAAGTAGCAAATGTTCACGAGTTTGAGGCATAGTCCCGTCCGTTGCAGCAACTACAATCACGGCACATTCCATTTGATTTGCACCAGTAATCATGTTTTTTATGTAATCAGCGTGACCAGGACAGTCTGTATGAGCATAATGGCGCTTTTCAGTAGAGTAATCAACAACAGCGGCGTTGATTGTGATTCCGCGTTTTTTCTCTTCAGGAGCAGCGTCAATTTCTTCATACGACTTGAAGATAGTTTTACCCTTATTAATTTCCGACAAAACTAAATACAAGTAACGCTAAAATGAAATAATTACCTTTGGTAATGGCTGCAGTAAGAGTAGTCTTGCCATGATCAACATGTCCTATGGTTCCTATGTTCATATGGGGCTTATCACGGACGTAAGTCTTTTTCTGAGCATTCATTACGGCTCCCACTACATGGCCAGTATGAAACTACAGGCGTAAATATAAAGAAAAATGTTACCCTTGAAATTATGACAGAAGATCTGACGGGCTTAACGGAGCAGATAAAATTCTAGAAAGGATAAGAATTAACGAAATACAGCATACCGCAAAATAGCGGCTCAGCATTGTTAAATATATCTAAAATAATAAAAACAACAAGTAATATAGACTTATTTAAAAATCATTAACATCTAAACACCAACAGAATACTCACAAATGACACAAAGGAATTTCGATGACGGCCACCGAAACGAGCAGACACCCTAATGTGACTTTCAATTCTGGCACCCAACGACAGTTTTTGTATGTAACTTTAATATTTCAATGCTATATGTTTAAGACTATTGCAAAAACAGCAAAATTAATGTTAAGGAAAAATGAATTTCTTAAAAACTTAATGATATGTATTAAACTATTTTACTATGGTCATGCTAACTCCACACTAAACAGATTCGAATTGTATGGTCAGAAATGAAAATTTATCAATTTTTTACACAGCTCATGTCATATTTTAAAGTAATTCAATGATGCCTTAAGAAATTATTGTTTCGGGGCCTTGTCCAACTTTTGCAGTCTTTGAAACCACTTTGACTGCTACCTAAAGAAATATTTTTGCTTAATTTTAAACGCAGGATCCAGATTATGGCTGGAATATCAGACACCTGATAATGAGGCAAACGTAAACAATACTGCAAGAGAGCTGGTTTGCTATACTTAAGAAAATCGTTATAAAAGGCGCATCTAACTAATTTTATATTGTTATAAAAATGGCAGCGTATTAGTGCTGCAGTTTGAGAGGCCATGGGATAAGATGATAACGCTATAGGCTCGTGGTATAATTTCCAGCGTGAATTTTAGAGCACACAAAATTAGTAAAACCCAAATCTTCAAAGTTGTGTACACTTCATCAAGATAATTGCTTTCAAAATGAATTAAGAAAACTATATTCTTAGGAATTAGCTGAAAAATTCGTTGAAATTCATACAGTGGTTAGCAATGTCGTGTGATATACAAATCATCACATATGAGCTTCGTTATTAGAGGAAAGATTTTAATAACTAATATAGACATTTTTGGGTCTTCTTAAATCTTTCCATTCAGCATGAGAAACCAAAATATTTAATATTTCAGCGTATTAAAAGTAATCAAGTCCTTGAGAATTGTAAGCGCAGCGGGATTTTGTTTCATAGGGGATTATATGGCGTAATTCGTGTTCTTTTCGTTTATTCCTAAATTATATTGGTCTTAAAAGGTTGTTTAGGTTTGAATATTGTTAATAAATACCACCTTTGTACACCGAAAAACCTTTAGTTTTATTCAAAAATTTTAGTGCTTCAAATTGAAATTCCTCAATTTTAATATGTTCGTAAACTGAAATTACTCGGTTTCTTGGTTCATATTCTTTTAAAACGTTATTTTTACTTGAAGATGGATTCGCAGGTAGATTTTTTGCAACATGCATCTGTCTCCAGTGAGTCATTTTGTGAATCCAACGTTACTACTGCAGTTTTTGAAGAAAATTTGAGGCTTCGTCATGAGAATCAACGTCTCTTGGAACAATTTCGTCAGCAAATACATGTATAAAGCACTTTTTAACTAGCGCTTTTTGTAGGAAATTCAAAATGAAAAGGAGACAGTACGTCTTCGCTTAATAGCCGTTGAGAGCGACTATGATACTCAATTAAAGGAACTCCAAATGGAAATAATGAACCTCAGAGGAGAGGTTCAACAACAGAAACGTCGTTGTGCGATGGCAAATTTGGAGTGTGAAGAGACTGTGCAATCTTTAACAGAAAAGAACTCTGCGTTGAAGGAAGAACTCTTAGGTGCCAGTCGTGTCGCCGCAGAGTCAACTGCTCACGTGAAAGAAATGCAGCAACATCTTCAAAGTGCCCGAGTTTTAATTCAAAGTCATGTTCAGCACATTGAAACTCTACGCGCTGAGGTATTTCTTTTATTGTTTTTCCCATTATCTTCTTAATCCTTGAGAGTTAGTCCAAATTGGACTTAAGAGTATCCTATAGAATTTACTTATTTTCTAAAGGCCACAACAGCTTTTCTTGAGTGACAGGGCTAGAGGAAGAACCATGTGCCTACAGAACAAAGGGTAATGAATATTGTTAACGCAAGTTGTGCGAGACTCAGTAATTATAAAGCACTGAGACTTGTCATTTTTAGCCGGAGACCATTGATATGTAGGTAGTTCAGCTTTATGTGCCTAAGGCCAATTGATGAGGCATAGAGGGGGGGGGGGGGTTTAAAATGAACGAGTTAAGTTACTAGACAAGTACGTGTATAATGAATAGAAATTGGTTTTGTGCATTGGAAGTTGAAATTTGTTCATTTTTTTGCTTTGCTTTTTTAAGATCGATCAGTTGAAAGAAGATAAACAAAGTTTGGAGCAAAAGTTGCAGGCCATAACGGAAGAGCGGGACAGCCTTCTTACTGCACTTTCCGATACTCAGCAAGTAAACGCTCTTCTGCAGCAGGAAAATGCTAATCAGCAAATCTTGGTGCGTCAACTTATAGCCACCTTCTTTTCTTCTATTTTACAATCACATTAATACTTCCGATTGTAAAAGTTAATCGTTTTTGGGAATTTTTGCACAGAAGTAGTTTTATTTAATGCGGTGCATGATTGGCCCTTCGTACTGCTAGTAAACAAGGGGGATTTTCTACTACATACCGCGTTTCCGAAATTTAACATAACGTTGCAAAAAAGTTTATTAATGGAAGTCCCGCTGCAAGCGTGAGTGACATTTCGTAAATTTGCCACTCTTAGTTATCTTTTATCTTTTGAAAGATGAAGTAGCATCTAATTATCATACCTGAAGGCTCTATGTCTCAATAATATAATGGAGACAGAATAAAGTTTCAGCTAACAAAGGTCCATTAGTAATCATCTTTATTTTAAGGAAGAAGACCGTTGTAGATGGTGTTATCTTTAGTTGCAGTAAACATAGCAGGTCATACGAGATTTTTCAGAGAGGATATGTATTCTAAGGTTGAAGATAGCCTTGTTGACTCAAACCGACTTTAGACGGACGACAGATCAGGTCAAATTGGCTTAATGAGTTGTTTACATCGAGTATCTTTAACTGGTGCGGGTCGTAGAATCGTGTACTTTGAATCGAATAGTGAGATCGGACAGGAACTATTTACAAGCATTCACAAAAAAATATTTAATTTGTGAAGAAATGATTTAGTTCACATGCGAGAATTGTTTATTCAATAATTGTTAAAATTTGACCATGTGTAAATGAAGACGAAATTAAATGATTGATGCAAGTGGTCAGAGATGAAGTGTCCGTGCTGCGCACATGCTGATTTTGCGCTCTAATTTCCAGCTTTTAATTCATTTATCCATTGGTCATTATCTTCCAAAGAACGCGAAGCCTGTTAATTCCCTTCTCGCCTGATTACTCTTCCCATCCCTTCCTGTTTACAATACATATTTGTCTCACTGAGCTGCCACGCACACACACACTTCGAAATATCCATTTATGGTTATGATTGATTATGATTTTTGAGTTTCCATAATCTTATTTACTGCATTTTAGCATTTATGCAGTCGATGCTAGCAGAATCGAATATTGTTGGTACTCTAAATAGAAGTGCTACAGTCCGCACCAGTGACTAACCAGATGTATTATCTTGAATTGGTAAAGGAAGCGGAGATTGAGTTTTTATGTCTGTCGTATACTTACTTGGGATTGGGAGTAACTAATGCTCTAATATACCCAATATCGCAGTATCACCTTATGTATTCGTATTACAATTCAGTTTGAACTAATCTGTACCACCGAGTATTTCGAGATTTAGCTCTGCTTGTTTAAGCATCTTTAGCCAAGTGATAGCGTAATAATTTCATTGGATAATCAAGGGAGTACCATCCCCACATCCAAGTACATCTGCATGTGTGTGATTGGTCGTTAGGTGGAGGTGCTGGTTGTGGCTAATTGGTCGCTATTAGTAGGTCTCCTGATTCACCTGTACCAAAAGAACGCATGATCAGATCTAAGATAGTTTATTAAATAAACAACAACAAAAAGAAAACTTTCAGATCACCTGTTTCTGACTTATTATACAAAATGAGTAACAATTTTCGACTAATCTACAATCGTCGAAACTCGATACGCACTAAATATTTCTACGTAAAAAATTATGAGATTGATTAACCACGATTTAACATTTTATAAAATTTTATTTACCTCAAATGGCAGGCGTTTTGATCGTTATCATTAGCTCTTTAGAGGAAAAAAGTCTTGAGGGGGAGGGAACAGAAGAGTGCTTCAAAGAAGTAAAAGAGACAGACACAAAGGTAGCGAAAAGGTAAGATAAGTACTGTGGAAGTAGTCGAATATGACATACAGTGG